GGAACCTCGACTGAAGGGAATTGCTGACCGACGACATAAAGATGATCGATCTTGTGCAGAAACCACCTCGAACCATGTTCGCCAGTAGTGCTGCGCACAACCAAGAAGTCACTGCCTCTTGGGTTATGCTTGAAAACGGGAGCTCGGTACATCTCGTTGTGCAATGTTGGCACAGTCTCACCAGGGTCAACAGTGCCGAAAAGGGAGAAGGGGGATCGATCTTCAGGAAGAAGCATGCGGTATTCTCCTAGTTCTTGTTTTGGAAGTTGCTCATCTTCGTTTGTGTCTTTCCGGCGATAGTAGTTGATCAAGCGGTTGCCCATACCGAAGCTGCTGAGCACTCGTGGACGTTGCTCACAGTACTCGTAAAGAACAGCCGTTGAGTTGTCGTTAATACTCAAATCCTTGGACTTGAGGAAGACTTCGTGCGCTTTGCCCTTCATCTGCTTTCGCTTCTGGTGTGCTGGCTTATCAAACTTGATGATATGACCAGCAAACTTCTTGTACCTGAAACGAGGGCGATGATACTCATCTGTCGTACCACCGAGCTTAACTTTGTAGTACGGCCATGAGAGCTTGATAGCAGGCATACTGTGCTCGACAGAAATGTTGCCGAGTGTAGCGCGAACCTTGCTTTGGTGGTTTTCCTTTAGAGCCTCGTATGCCTCGTCATTCGAGATGTTGAAGCGGTTTGAGACATCGCGACCGAGGTTGCCGTTTGCCATACGCTTCAGCTTGTTGTCTGTGCGGGGTCGCTTTACATTTCGTTGGGTTTCTTGAGTTTCGATAAGGAGGTAAGGATCGCTCATATCCAGTTGCACCCTCTTGGCACCTCTGCGGGTGGCGTCTTCGAAGTTGTCGAAGGAGGGGGCAGCATAGCGGGGAATCTCTGGTAGACCAAGCTTGACTGTCTTGCGTTTCTTCGGCCGTGGTGGTCCTTCGTCGCCAAGGTCCATCAGGAACTCAGCATCCCATTCATCATCCTGCTCTTCAAACACGCGCTTCCGTGCTTGCTGTTCCTGCTGCTCGGCGGTTTGTCGGGCCTTGAAATCAGCTTCGATGGCCTCAATGCTGGCGCCCCAGTCCTCGCAGGCAAGCTCAATATCACGCAGGGTGAAGCCAGCGACCGTTTCGGAATCCGACTCTTGATCGAGGTCAAACTGGACATTATCTTCGGCTTGATCTTCTTGGTCCATGCCACAGTACACTAAGCCTCTCTCCTCGCCCTGCCTAGGTTTGCGGGTGATGGCTGCAGTGCCTGGGATACGGAACAGCTTCTCTTGATCGGGAGCGAGTTCGAGGGTAAGTTTGCTGGTGACGAGCTGCTTGGGCTTTTTGACGGGTTTCTTCTCCTTCCATGTAGCCTTCTTGGCTGGCAGGAGTTCGCTCCATGTCAAGATGTGCCCCTTCTTGAAAGCAGGCCATGTAGCTTTTAGGAGATCCTCGACGGTTTCAGCGGGTGCGGGAATGTCATGATCCTGATTATCGAGATGTGGTTCCGGGTCGAAGTTGATGCCAGGAAAGCTTAGACTCGTATCGAGAGGTTGGGTGTCGTCGGTTGTGTCGGCATCGCGAATATGAGGTGCTGGGGAAGAGGGACCTAGAATTGGATCTGGAGAAGAAGGTCCCTCTCCGAAGAGGTCGTCTGGATCGTGACTGGTTCCGCCATCGTCCGTGAGGCCAGGCATCTCCATGGAGACACCAGCGCTGGGCTCCTCCTCGTCTGGTAAGTCATCGTCACTAATATCTTCGTAATCCTCTGCATCGTCCGCCTTGCCAGACTGATCGAATTCGGCATTGTCGAGAATGATGCCGCCTCCGTTGTTTTGCGAGTCTCCCAATAGTTTCGCGATTTCTCGATCGTCGGCTGCATCCTGGGCCTTCCAGGCGGTCTCGTCAAAGGACGAGAAATCGTTCTCCTCAGCCATGATCGCGGTGTCGCAATCGTGAAATCAGATCACTAAGAGGCCGCGGAAGTGTCGTTATTCTTATATCATAATTTTATCGCGTCGCTGGTGATCGGCCGTCGCTCGGCGAGTCGTGGCTGTCGTGTGAAGATTGAAGGAAAGGAATTCGTGTTTGCGTTGAGCCGTGTTGTTCACGGTTGCGTTCTCCAGGAAAGATGCCCGGGAGCCTGAGAATGAGCGCGGAGTCAGCCAATCAACGTCAAGATAGGATGGAGGATACTGGAAGGCCAGTGCTTGGAATTCGAGGTGGGGCGGCGTTGAGTGGCTTGCAGGTCCATTTCAACCCCATTGTCGCGACAAGTGACAATCAAAGTGTGAATGTCAATAGAAACTAACCTTGGCGTTGTAATGTTGCACTACAAGCCTCACAGCCGGTGCTATCACTTCCATTTAATGCCCTGACAAGTGGCTTTTGAGTTTGAGCATAAACTGAAGCGGAAACCTGGTAACTTTGTAAGGAAATGGATATTACTGGTGAACGAACATTAGACTTACAACAGGAATCGCTAAAGAGCAAAAGATAGTTGCATTAGATCAAATACAATATCGTAAATATATGTACAAGTGGCTAATTTCACGTTGAGGTGATGTGTTGAAAGAATAAAGTTGCGTGGAAGCACACTCACGAATTTATAGAACGAATGGAGGAGAGTGAATCACTTACCACCTCCCTTATCTCAGAACTCGTATCTTCTCTTCCTGACCACAAACTTAAAAGTATGTAAGAAGGTCGTCTCTAAATATTCAGTTATAAAATGCATAATATGTTGTATTACCTTTACCAAGGGAACTAAGGTATATTAAAACAGTAGCTAACTCACAAGTATGCTCAATGCTAGGAGGGTCATGGCCATAAGCACGACTCATCAGTAGACAAAGCATAAAAGTTAAGATCGGAACCTCTAACTTATTCACAAAAGCAATCAATTATATGAGAGATAAAGTTTTAGGTCCTAGTTGTAGGTAAAGTATGGGCGCAATGCTCATTGTGAAGCCCAAGACCCTGTAGCATCCAACAGACCAGCTATTGCCTGCCTCCTCTACTTCGAAAGGGTAAAGGAGCCGTGGTTTGAATGGAACAACCTCAGTACCGTGAGTAGTAATTCTGTTATAGTATGTACCTCGTATCTTCTGTAACTCTACGTGACAGGGCGCCCTCTCTTGGGTTGTCGTAAATAACCTCCCGACCTGTTCCCCACGGCGCTGAAGTGCGCTTATTGATACTCCCAGGCTCATTTAACTTGCAATTCGAAGGAGCCGTCGAGAGAGGCGGTAGCCAGCATAAGCAACGCTGAAATTTAAGACACGGGCGTGGCCTTAGACCATTTATTAGATGTAAGTTAATACAGAGAGAGGTCTGGTGATGTTCGAGTTGGTTTACCGTCTTCGCTCTTTTCGAGGAGCATCTGCATTTAACTCACTGTGAATGTTGAACCGGCACTAACGATGGTATGGCTATGCTTTGAAGTCGCTACACGTCCATAAGAAGGGTTTAAATAGAAGCTATCCATGAAATATATGACAATTTTCTATATCGTAATTGAAACGGGCCATTGTTACGTCTTTTGCGATCCCGGGTAGCCGAAACACCACTTTGACACTTCAAGACTCTGACGTGTTACACCCATTGCTGATATCACGATCTATTGAAGGGAGCTTTAGAGCCAGAAACCTTTTCGAATTTATCGAGCAAGGATGACATAACTAGTCTAGAGACCTGCCAAGTCCCTGTGTAACAAAGTTACCTCACTCTATCCTGACCTTGTGCTGACTGTTCTCCTCTTGATGATCAGAGGATCTGGGCTACAAGTTATCTTACCTCCCCCATGGGGTTAGAGTCTATGAATCGATAGTATGTATGGAGCTTGGGGGACTGAACTGCTGTCGGGCATAGCAGAGAGCGTTGCAGAGTCTTAACAGTCACTACAGACTTCATCGACGAGGAACGAAGGCAGGCTACTACTCGGTCAATGTTGGAGAGAATCACCTGGTGCTTCTCTCGTGATACCGGCTGTGCAAGTGGTAAGACGTTCTAGATAGCAAAGCAAAGATAAGAACTCCGGTAAAGGTGCTGTGATTGAGCAACCTGCAACTGCGCCTACCATCTCAACACCCCCCTTCGATCCGGTCAAGCATACATGAACTCACACAACCTGCATAGAAGCCATGAGCTGTCATTGTAATTTACAAGTTACAATCCCTGAAATCCCCCAACCTCGCTTGCTTCAAACTATCCCCAAAACCACAGCTCAATTCGGTCATACACAGCGCCCATACGAAAACAAGCTTCCATAGCGAAATCTACCCTCCATAATACACGATCATCACTAAGGTCAACACTCTATAATACCAGAAATTGCAATATGATTCGATGAGTAATCCCAAATGACGCAAAAGCTCGGCGGATTCCTGATTGGGGAGTATCATGACAGGGCAGCATTGCATAGAACAAATCCTACCCAGCATAAGCATGATATGTTTTGGCCCCCAATCGTTTATCTCAACGACGACCGAGTTTTGGAAACACCAGTCTGTAAATCGTGGCACCATAGGTGTATCGAGACGCGAGAGCAGTTGAGTTGGACGGCGCGTAAGCCTGCGCGGGGATGATGTGAGGAGATGGAGTCTGCCTTGACTGTTTCCCTCTGTTAATACCGTGGACGTCACACTGAGGAGTGCTGAGGTAGTCATGAATGATGCACCATTGATGGAACCAGGATTGAGAAAAGGATACAATGTATTTCTAACAAGTTCCGTTCGTCGCGTAATGTATGACGAATACTGAATGTTTCAATAACAATAATAAGTACAATGATGTCAAGTCAATAATGCCACTCTCTGACAACAGAGGAATCCTCCCAGTTGGGTATTAACGCCACCAAGAACACCGTGAAACCAATGAACTCATCAAACTCGCGCTTGCGCCTCGCCAGCTTCCAACTTTGCCAGCTCAGCACGTTCTGCCTTGCGACGCCTGTACCATATGAAGGCTACAATACCCACGACGATCGGGATGGCCACTGCGGCAACCTTCTAGAGAATACCAAAGACCAACGCCAAGATGAAGGCCGTTTTGCCTGTCCGTTGTACTCTGTCAAAATCATCTCGTTTTGATAGTGCTCCATTGTCTGATGCATCCTCGTCAGGGAGGGCTGTGTCGTTGGGCAGAGTTCCGTTGATGAGGATTGTCATTGTGCCGTTGACCTCTGCGACATTGACGATGGACTTGTTAAGTGCGTCATAGCTTCCGTTTCCGATGAGTTCGTCGAAGTATTGGGTGCTGTTGTTGTCGTCGCACGCGCAATACTCATATCGCGAGCATCCACAGAGGACATCTCGCTCTTCGTCCTCATCGCTGGTGTCGTTGTGATAATGGTAGGGATGCGAGTAAGGGTACATGTATGCACCGTAGAGCCAAAGGCCAGGCCAGAATGCCAGAGCAGCACCACCTAGAGCGTAGGGCGCAATTCTTCCGGGACTTGGGCCGCCGGCCTTGTACGGTCTTGATGAGCCACCAGGGTAGTATCGACCGCCTGCGAAGCTGGGTTGAGGACCGACGCCGCGAGAACCGCCGCCGGAGCTACGGGAGCCACCGCTGCTTGATGATGAACCTGGACGATTTGATGAGCCTCTTGAACCACTACCACTACTGCTGCTTCCGCGACTGCTGCCGCTTCCACTGCTTCCACGGGAACTCCCACCTCTGCTGCCACTGCCAGATGATCCTTTTGAACCTCCGCCGCTGGAACCTCCGCGTCCTCCACCACCACCGCCGCCACGGCGCTTGTAAAGCTCGTGCTCATAAACGGGTGGTATCTCAGACTCGGGGCGCTCTATGTCGATGCGCTTTATGCGACGGGGTGCATCGACGGCCGACGCGACCGTGGATGTGATGAGTGTGAATAGCACGACTGCGAAGTCTGATCTCATTGTGGGCCAAGTTGTCTTGGTATGACGAAAGGATGCAGGTAGGTGTAGGTGCGATGAAACAAAGAAGTGCGGATTGTAGATTGGAAACAAGATTCAAGTGAAAGACCAAATGATTTCGGACTAGAAGATGTCAAACAGACGATGAAACCAAAAAGTCGTGAGTTTGTGTTTGGGGGATGTAAGTTGATGGAAGGGTCTGAAGTGGGCAGCTCAAGGTTTAATACCCGAAATCCGAATTCAGGAAGGGTAGGTAAGACTGAATTGATGACGGGGGTAATTGCAAGGATCCACAAGGCGTGCTTTCTCTTCTAGGTTCGGAGGCTGTGATGGAGGCAACAACGACGAAGCTCACGGGGGTTGACCTTCTATGATGAGGTTCAAGGGGCGAATTAAACAGAAACGATGATGTCGCTCTTTCCAGAAGGATTGGGGGCGACGATCAACCGCATAAACAGCAAGAACAAGTGGATGTCTTGGCTGAGCTGTGGATGAGGTCACTGACTGAACGACCGGTTTTGGCAGCTCCTTCGAGATGATGACTGACTGATTGATTAAGAAGGAGGAAACTGCCAAGGCAGGAAGAATTGCGTTCTTTATATTCTACTCTATGGAGGTAAATCACCGTAGGGAGCGGATCGAGCATTGGTCTTTGGCGTTTTCTTAGCTCTAACGAGCTGAACAGAAGCCAATCTCTGAAAACAAATTGAGTTAGCTCCAGCCAAAAAAGTGCTTTGACTTTTGTTGTTTTTGGCGGAGACAAAAAGCAGCCCTACCAAAGTGGCTTGGCCAGAGGAACCATTCACAGCGGTGTAATTACTTTGGAGCGTGTTTGTGGTGGTTTGCTGCATTGCAGAGGCGCGCATCGAGAGACAAAGAAATGGAATGTAGGTCCGAATGCCTTGGCTCAGCCTTACTTAGCGAAACAGCAAATCTCTCTAATGTTGATACTGGTCAACAAATTTGTTGGGTTCTATGGTAATGTCACTACCAGTTGACCACTGTTTCAAGGATGATTGAGCGTTGATCGTGGGTCTGTGACATACAGGACCCTGGAGTTGGGCATGGGCGTATAAGCTTGTCGGGGTTAAGCTTGCAGCGCCGCAACATGCAGGCAATTGCATTTTTCATTGGTGTGCATCCTTGTTTAGTGTGGATCAAGGCTGTCACTGAGGCAGATTTACTTGAGACATCCGAACTAGACATCTCGCTACGACAACCCAATACGCCAAAAGTCCGCTTGTGACTGTCAAAGCTTTCGTTTAAATAAATGCTTAGAAGATGTCTTCATTCCTGGATAGATCTTTATTACGGAGTAGAGATGTGGCTGAAGCTGAGCCGTGAATTCATCTAGGCGCAAAATATCAGTACAGAGACGAGACAATTGGCAGACACGGAGACGGAATCCCGCAGGAGAACAAACTTCAGATGCGGCGATGCGTATTGATCACCACGTGGTCCTACACGATTTGGAAGTCCCCGATCTGTTGCCTTCAAAACGTTCCATTTCCAACGAGACCTTCCTCTCTAGTTCGTTGTGTGATCCATTGGATCTCCGCCATAGCCACCGCGCCCCCGCATGATGCTAGAGTGACAGTCTGTCACATGAGGCTGTGCAGTGTGCAATTGTTATTGCTTGCAGCATTCTAGAAGCATGACAAAAATTGGCAGCCTGAATTTTAGCATTCAACCAAGATCAGGCACCCGTGCTTGCGCCCAGGACTTGGCGCACTAGAGTTTTCAGTACATCTCCGATGGCGGGGACTAGGCGGATATAAACATCACGAGTTGTCGCTCAGTGGCGATGAATGGTTGGGTCATCGCCTGGTTTCTTGGGGGACGAATTGATGATCTCTCGGCGTTGCCGAAAAGAACTGAGGTAAGTGTAAATGTTTGGGAGGCAGCCGTCAAGTCAGCCTTTCAATTCTTTCCTGTACTAAGGCTTGTCTGTCCAAACTTTTGAACGAAGTCATGAAAGACAGCCGTGTCATAAGTACCAATATCCTGGAGATAGGCAGAATCCTTTGCTTCACCAGATTCGATGATCTCAATGGTCCGCCTGGACAAAGCCATAACTTCGGCAGTATGCTTCTTTATCCCGAGCCATTTCCTCTCATCCCTTGGTATACGCTCGTAAGCATCCGCCCAAAGAGAGTCCCATCTATCCAATGCACGAAGTAACATTTTGGAGTGTTCATGTGATGCAACTGACGTACGATGATGAAATACGTAGCGCCCGATACCTGGAAAACATTGATATTTGTCATTCATTGACTGTCCTGGGATGTGACGTACCTGAAGTGATATAAAAGAGATCTGAATGGTCTAATTTTCCAAAGGAGTCTCTAGTAGCAGGTGTCCAGTCCTCAGCAAGCAATTCTGCTACTGCTTCACTGCAGCTTGAAGGATAAGGCCTTGCTACTCTATGCTGTGACCTTTCTTGAAAAGCCATGCTTGAATCTGCCTCCCATATACTAGTTGGGCATGGGAGATCTCCAGTCATTTCCTCTGTAGTGATAATGGGCGGGTGGTTACAGAAGAGCCCCAGTAGCGAGTCGTTGATAAAAGTCCATGTAACGACCCTTATACATGTTTCTCGGTGAACAAAATCTTCCCAGATTTTGCCGGGCTCGTGTTTGAGACTCATCATCTTTGCTTTTCTCAGCGCCCCGACCAGTGTTGGAATTCTTCTGCTTGCTATTCTTCGGCGAGATTCGATGTGGTTTGCACTGCCCTCGAGAGTGTTCATCAACACTGCCGCTTGGCATATTTCAAGCATGTGTCGTGAAGTAACTGGACTGACACCTTGATCTGACAATTCTTTAAGCTCCTTGCATACATACTTTTCTGCCAATTCGAGTAGTGATGTATTGATGGATGAGGGAGAGGATTGGTTGAGACATTGAAGATAAACAGTTCCGGTCAACACCACAGCTAGTAGCAGGTGAAGTGAGGCTTTTTCAGGATCAAATGTTGGCCAGTGTATCGTGTCTTGATGGTAGTGTCTCCGACGGAATACGAAGACCAGGACATGCTGAAAATGAGATGTCGTAAAGAACCCTCGTTGGCAACTTTGGTCAAGCCCGTCCCTAAGTTGAGGCTTGTTGGTAGTCAATTCTTGAAGGATGTTTGATAGAGCGACTATTTGCATAGAGAGAGCATCGGCCGAGTCGTCAGACGGACCAAAGATGCCAGAGAATTGTAGCAGATCGTTTTCCGTATTCTCATAGTCCCGGGGTTCATCTAGAAGCATGTCTGGTAGATTAAAGAGAAGAAAACTTGGATCGACCGTCCCTGAGGTCCAACCGACAGTCTCACGTTGTTTCCAAGCAGGCATCTCTGATGTTCTTTCAGGCTCTCGAGCGACAATAGCATCCATAGATGGCTGGGTCGGATTGCTAGCATGCAAAAGAAAGGAAAAGCTAGGACTATCATTCTTGGAGACTTCCCCCGGTTTGGAGGTCGCTCGATGCGTAGGATCATGACACAGAGAGCTATATATGCAATCAATGCCACGAGCTGAGCACCTCTGACAAGGAAGTTGCGAGTTACAAGATATCTTCACTCGAGAGCAGTTATCGCAAGCTCGAAGCTTTCTGCCTGGTTTGGCTCGTGGTGGAAGAGGTCGGCCTTGTCGGGCGTTGCAAGAGCTTGCATGTCGACGAGCGACATCAGCTATGCGGAAGGACTTTTGACAGAATGGACATTCATTTTGGCGAGTGGATAGAGGCTTGTCACAGACGGGGCATGTTGGGGCCTGATATGGAGTCACCATCTTAGAGGTACGTGGATGGAAGAGGTTGAAGTCAGGCCATGTGGGAATTTTCCGAGGGTGAGAAGCGATAAGTGGAGCTATGTGGTTAATTCCCGTCCCGACCTGGATCCCGGGGAAAGGTCTCATATAACCAGCACCACGCCTGATTTTTATCTTTCTTGTTTCCTAAATTTTTCGATTTATTTACTTTTACGAGATATCTCGATATGACGCGATTACAATCAGCAAGAGGTGAGTGATACGTTTCAAGAGCTTATGGACCTTGACTTACACCATCATCCAGCTATAGCTCGACCTCTCTCCATCACAGCTCCTCGAACGATCCCACTGCAAGCCCCTAGAATAACAGAAAACAGATTCGAGCATCAGATACGAAACGGCTCATCCAAGGCGGCTAAGGATGTAGTACCTAATGCGCACCCTGCTTCTCTCGCCGATGTTAAGCCAAACAACCTAGTCGACTATGCCCTGTACGTACTCAACCCCATGCCACGATGAGAATAGGAAGCTAATAAAGGATGTAATAAAGTACAACGTTGGATAAAATAGCCAATTGGGGCCGAACCAGCTCCCTCTGGCCATTGAGCTTCGGCCTCGCCTGTTGCAGTCTCGAAATGATGCATGTTTCGATGCCACGCTACGACCAAGACCGTCTCGGCATCTTCTTCCGCGCGTCTCCCAGGCAAGCAGATGTGATGATCGTCGCAGGGACTGTCACAAATAAAATGGCCCCTGCATTACGGCAAGTATACGATCAGATGCCTGAGCCACGTTGGGTCATCAGCATGGGATCTTGTGCAAATGGTGGAGGGTACTATTACTACAGCTACAGCGTTGTTAGGGGAGTCGATCGTATTGTTCCAGTCGATATTTATGTTCCTGGCTGTCCACCTACTTCTGAGGCTTTGATGTATGGCGTATTTCAGCTGCACAGGAAGATCAGGAGTCAAAGGGCTTCGAGAATGTGGTATCGAAAGAAGTAGGTTATGCTGTGGAGAATCTGTAAGACTATAGAGTACATGGATATCATATCGTTAAACAGAATAACGACAGAAAGTCTCTGCTGATTAAAACATGTTTGGAAAGAGGAACCGATCCAAATCAGCATAGTCGAAACTGGAAAGATCACCAACCAGGTTATTCAGCCATCTCATATCATCCATCTCTGCAACGGGAGTCTCATCTCGCGTCTCTGGCAGGGAAACTATGGGAAAGGTTTTCAGCACATCACTCAAGGTCGATGCACACTTCTCCTTGCGCCGCTGTTGCATCAGTATAAGCAGAGAGGCTGTGTTGAGAGCCTCTTTCGTAGCATTGGTATTGTACACAGTAGCAACGTTACTTAAGCATTGCATGGCATCCTTGAGCTGGGCTATTGATTCACCCGTGTCAATGGCAAGTAGAACACAAATAATCTGAAACGGCACATTGGCCATATGATGCCATGGTGAGCGCGCATCTAGAATAGCCTGAGCTGCTTCAATGCCTGTTTTTGTGATGGAGAGGATCTGGTCGAGGACCTTTCCTGAGAACGTTGTGTTCATCGACTGGAGTCGACGACAGAGACATAAAGCGAGGTTTGTCTGCGCCATAATCGATGGCGGAACAGAATGGGTTCTGCTTAAGACAGTTGAAAGCGAGGCTTCAAGCTCGGAAACGTCTTGCGTCTTATTCGGATCAAGTTCTGTTGAGTACGGGAGCAACTCCATAAGCTCAAGGGTATGGTCCCCTTCTCTGGAACAAGGCATCTCCAGTGTTGAATTACACAGGATGGTTCTAGACCGCCCCATGTCAAATGAAATCCAAATGTTAAGGTGCTCAGCGACAGCAAAGAGTCGTCTCCGAAGCTCGGCATCGACCTTTTCTTCTGTTACCGGAAGTACTGATTCTTGGGACGGTTCACAGTGCAGGCCAGCTGCTTCGAGCATGTGCATAAGAATTGAACTCGCCATCCATGCTGTATGTGGAGTTCCAGCTATTCTCAGGTATACCACCCGCAGAAGCCAGCCGGTCACACTAGCAGCCGATGGGTCATCAGACATCTTCTGCTCAAGGATAAATCGTGCTGTTTCTATCAAGTCAAGCTCCACTGGTGGAGGTTCGACTTGTGAGAATAAGCATCCGATGGCTGCTATACCGCACAAGATAGAATCTTGAGACTGATCGTATATATATCCAGACCACCTGCCTTGGATAGTCTGTGAAATATCGTTCCTATCAACGAATCCATAAATTGGATCCATCTTTTGAAAGTAAACGGCACTCAAGCTCTCCATGTCTTCTTTGGATAGAAGATCTGTAATTGGTCTGGAAACAGGAACATGGGAAGACTTCCGCGCTCCAAGAAAGGCATTCCAAGAAAAGGTGTGCATCCTAGGGGCATTCTTTGGATCCAACCTCAACGCCAACCTTCTAAGAAACGCAGCCCCAGAATTCGCCTCCAGCGACTGTAAATGTCTCGGCGATGTAGCATGATCACTCCTCGAAGGTCTAGAATCCTTCTCAGTGTGAACAGGAGGTGAAGGAAGGAGAGTAGCCTCATGGGTCTTCCTCTTCTTGATCGAAGAAGTCTTGTAGGTGCACTCGTACTCAAAACGGACACAGGCTCCGCAGGGCTGGGCGCCGTCGCATTTCCGTTTTAAATCCCGACATGTCTCACAGGCGAGTCTTGAGCGCTTACGGCCCTGAGAAGTGGACATGTTTGGCACTGGAATGGGAATGAAAAAACTGTGATATGTAAGGGGATGAATGCATGTCAAGTGAAGTTGCGAGGGTCGGTTCTTACGGGCCGAGCGGGTATGTCGGCTATCTCGGGGATATCGGTAACAGCGGTACAAGCGATGAAAGCTAGCTTGACGTAGTTTGATGATGCTAACTAAACTTATCCTAATGATAATAAACTTGCCTCATTATTCTTCTTCTTGCAATTCAGGTCAAATTATTTGCTGGTTGTCTTGACTTGTTGGTATTTGATCGTCTTCCCATGTTACTTAACCAAGACAGAGACTCGGTCTCTGCAGCCGAAACACTGGCTGATATCGAAACACAACCCCAACAAAACACGCCTGAAAAGATACCGACACATAATGAACCACCAGACGGAGGCTTCAATGCTTGGCTGCAAGCTCTTCTAGCCCACATCGTATTCTTCAACACCTGGGGCGTCGCAAATGGCTTCGGAATCTTTCAACAATACTACACCCAAACCCTCGGAGAAAGCCAATCCACGATATCTTGGATAGGAAGCGTCCAAGTGTTTTTCCTATTTTCAGTCGGAGTCATAGCTGGTAGACTGACGGATGCCGGCCATTTTCGAATTATCTTCCCGATTGGTGTCTTCTTGCAGGTCCTTGGACTCTTCATGACTTCTTTATGCACGACGTTCTGGCAGATATTTCTTGCGCAGGCTGTCTGCCTAGGAATAGGAAATGGTTTCACGTTCTGTCCCGCTCTAGCTGTTTTGTCGCAGTACTTCAAGAAGTATAGGGCTTTTGCTGTCGGACTGGCAGCCGCTGGTGCAGCTGTTGGTGGTTTAGTATACCCAGTTTTGATCAACTGGCTCATCTTCCACGATAACGTTGGCTTCCCCTGGACTATCAGAAGTATGGGTTTCATCATGCTTGCTACATATATCCCCTGCCTTATATGGCTCAAGCCTCGACTACCACCTCATCCTAGCGGCCCATGGATCGACAAAACAGCTTTCAAGGAACTGCCCTTCATCTTCTTTACCATGAGCATGTTTCTTAACTTCTGGGGTCTCTATTTTGCCTTCTTCTATCTTGGAACCTTTGCACGCGATCGAGCGGGCATTTCTGAACCCATCTATCTACTGATGATTCTAAACGGGGTAGGAATCTTTGGGCGTATCTTGCCCAACATCGTTGCCGATAAGTGGACAGGACCACTAAACATACTCATTCCTCTAAGCATAGCTTCAAGTTTGTTGGTCTACTGTTGGGCGGCTATAGAAACAGCTGCCGGGCTTTATGTCTTCGCTGTGATCTATGGTTTCATCGCTGCAGCATTGCAAGCTCTATTTCCAGCTGTTGCAACACAAATGGCACCTGATCCAAGAAAGACGGGGACAAGAGTTGGGATGATACTGGGTATCGTTAGTATTGCGAATCTGACTGGCCCTTTTATCTGTGGTGAACTCATCAAAGCTGGCAACGGTAGTTACCTTGGACCTCAGATGTTTGCTGGCTCTTCAATATTCCTGGGTGCTCTGATGGCAGTGGCGTCTCGAATCGCCAAGACAGGTCTTGTGCTGAAGGTCAAATCATAAGGTAGCTAGAAAGGTTGCAAATCTATTTCGTACATAATGTATATATATATCGAAATTCGTTGCAAATCTCAAGCAGCAGGAGTAGTTTCCTTTGCCATTTCTTCATTTTGTCCCTTCTTCTTCTTCTTTTTCTTCGTCGAAAACCTCGGAAATCGAACTCGTATGCTAAATCGAGAGCCAAACCTAGCAACGCGTCTCCTTATCCTAGTCCCCTCTTCTGCGACGGTAGCGGTACTAAGAGGAGGTTGGTACTGAGGAGTAATCTCTGGCTTAGGCGCAGGAACCGCAGCACACCATGTTTCCGACCACTCTTGTTCAGAAATTTCAAGCATCTCTCTAAAGACTTTCCCTTCTAGCTCTGTTTTGATGCGCTTCTGCAGAGGCGATACCGTGCTGCATAGGCGAACAATTCGCTCCCAAAATTTGGCGTCCTCTTCCTTTTGAAAGATGAAGTCATCGCCGTCGTTGGTCCACGAAATGGTAAAGATTAGCTTGATACCCTTTTTCTTGTCGTAGATGAAGTTGCAACTATCTGTTTCCTGAATACTCTTATTCAAAGCCACAGAGTATAGTTGGGAGTAATTCGTGTGTGAGAATTGGAGAGCTAATGTTGATGGTGATGTCGTCTCATGGCTCATGATACACCTGGCGTATGCCCACTTGGCGTATTTCATGTTTTGAGCGTTGGCGTGGCGACCTTGAGCTTGTTTAGTCTGGCAATTTTGCTATTTGTTGGTGAAATGAGGTGCATATCAATGAAACATGTAAGTAGAGAAGAGAAAGCAGATAAAAATACCACATGAAACAATGCCGCGCCTCTTATGAAGTATATATTTGCCGTTCATCCGTCTACCACCTCTCTGGTAGCCAGCATCCTGGGCTAGCATTCCCTGATAAGCCAAAGGTGGTGCTTTCATCGTGTTCTAGCCCTGATGGCGCTCCGTGGTGACATCCTGTGGCGTCCGATAATTGCCAGACTAAGTACAGCCCCTCCCTCTGGAACTCCAAACTTGCGAAAGGATTCGAGATTGTAGGTAAAGAATGAGTCAAGAACTAGAGGCTTAGAGAAGACTGCTTGTTGGATCATAGGAATTCTAGCCAGACCATTTCTCCCTATATGCTTTTAAAATCACGTCTTCTACTAACTCGACGCTCTCAAGCTCTTCATTTCTGTCCCACGTAACTTTGTGGCCAGGTGAAGTTCAGCTTTCGGCCACAATGCCCAAATGCGCATAACGAGAATGCGCTGTAACACACCTGCGGCTGAAACTAGCGAAAACTAAAAGCATACTATGTTACTATGGGTAGTCGAGCCAGACGTGAGCCTTGATCTTGTGACTCGGCATCCCTACATTGGATTCAGTACCTGATATCTCAACCACTGCCTTTTTCATACTCCTTGAAGTCTGAACCTTGAAGTCTGAACCGGGTCGTACGAATCATCGATATGGGCTGCTTCGGCGCTGACAACGACTCAAATCGCGTAGACGAGGAGACTGCAGTTCCAGGCGTGCAGGTTGATTTTAGAGATGATCGCTGGATTATAGACCTTGAAATCGATAACATTATCAGCAACATATCAGAGGTCGAGAGCTGGACAAACTTCATTTCGCAAGGGGTTTCAGAGCGCCAATGACAATGGACGACCCCCAAACGAGCTGGGTAAAGTATGAAAGTAACTTCCTGCAAGTCAAGAGAGCGAAGTTGACTGAATGGGTCAGAGTTTTCGTATCAACTTCGCCGTCCTTCAGCGAATACAGTTGAAGCAGCTCCGCACCAAACTCGCCAAACATGCAGTGTCTCTAAGATTCGAAGCAAGTGAACCCCAAGGGTGGCAGGACACCCTCAAAGACTATAGTAAGATGACGGTTACTTTGCTGATAAGTCGACCGAAACCGTGCTGATGTTGAATTTACAGTACAAGCACTCCAAAACTATGAATACATGGAAAAACGAAGTCTGCAACCTGAAGATCCGTTCTACATGAGTGGTGAGAAGTATCAAGATCGCAGACTTCTTGAAGCCATTCTTGGGGACAAAATGAACAGTTTTGAGGGACAACCCGTGTTCCCCGCTATCGGACACTGGCAAAAGGGACCCGAGGAATCGAGATCTGTCCGAGATACAAGACAAGATAACTATAAGCGGAACTGGACAGTAGGTCTCCACCAAAGACTTGCGGTGGCGGCCGTAGGTGGAATATTCCTCATGGCTCCTATGTGGCTGATGGTCTTGCATAATACTCTCTACACGGCTTTGGCCTCGACGACGGTGTTCGTTACTGTGTTTGGATTGATGGCTGCGAGATATCTTACGAGTTTGATGGACGTTATGTCGAGTACAGCGGCTTATGCTGCTGTGTTGGTTGTTTTTGTTGGACTGATCACTGAGCTGCACGATGGCTGAGGGAGGAAGACAGCGTTGATTCGAGAAGCTATTCAGACAGCCTGCAGGAACTAGCTTCGCATTTTTATTACTTATAGTCGGAAAGCTTAGATTTTGAAGACTCTTGCAGGATTTATGTCTCCAGTAGATGAGTGCGCAACAAATCATCCAGTACCTTGCCAACAGCTAGAATCTTTTCCTCCTCCAAAACCCGCCCCACGACCTGTATATCCACAGGAAGGTGGTGCTTGACCATATCGTGCATATTATCCTCCCAAAGACGGGTATTCCACTCATCCAGCTCGTTCCTCGGCTCGTGATCCCACAAGGCGTCAAGATCCTTAGCTTCAACCTTTCCTCCCGGAATGACCAAAGCCGTATAATTCAAAAGATTCCAGACCTTGGTGTATCCAACCCATTTGACAGTGTTGTGAGGTACAGCTGCATGCGGTAGAGCCGGCATTATAATGGCATCCACAGTCTTTCCCTTTTTGGAGAGTGTGTTGTTCCACTTCTCAAGATAGGCTTGCTGAAGTTGTCGTTTCCGTTTATTGAGTTGCCAATAATCAAACACCGATATAGGCTTTCCCCTGTTCACAAGCCTCTCCACGCTCGGGATGAAAGGCTCACCTCCTGCCTCTACATCACGGCGAATGTCTTCTCCACCGTCAACTGTGAAGTAGGCATCCATTACCTCTATGCACTCTGCGTGCAAGTCAGGCTTCCACATTACAAGCTCGTGACCATCAGCGGCAAGGGCAGCTGCAGCTTGCGCAAGAACCCTGACGATACTAGGGTGAGGCTTCACGACGCCGTCGTCGTACAGAACACCGATCGTTAGCTTGCTATTCACGGTCATGTCATATTCAGACTGGCGCCATGGGATGGGAACGCAATGACAGTCTTGTTTCCAGGGTTCCTGGAGGGCAATTTCTTTTGTCAAATGATAAATGGTCGACAGGGAGCGTGCCAAGGGACCGATGGATGATGGGACGTGCTCTTGTCCGTCGGTTGAGACGGGAACGCCTCCATATGGCAATCTTGAACTCTACCTGAAGTTAGCGATACTCTGAACATAGTGAATCAACATACGCTTGGCTTAAAACCATACAAACCCATCATAGAAGCTGGCATGCGGATGCTACCGCCCAAATCTGATCCGAAACCTCCGAGACTCCCATGAGAGTAAATCAGCGCCGACTCCCCGCCCGAGGATCCTCCAGGTGTATATCCGGGAATGATCGGGTTCTCGGTTAACCCCCAAAGAGGATTGTCAGTCTCAGCCCACTTGTCAAGATTAGCATGGGCGCAGAGTATAAATGTTAAGACTCACCATTATGCTCTGGGGGAGATTGGTCTTGCAGATGATGACGGCGCCTAGCTTCTTCAAGATCTTTACCAGGACGGCATCATCGTTGGCTGGCTTGAAGGACTTGCTTGTGTAGCCAAGGGTGGTGTCATAGCATTTGACATTGAACTGATCCTTCAGACTTATTGGGACTCCGTGCAAAGGTCCTTTTGTTTTGTTTTCTTTAGCATAATACGCATCAAGCTCTTGAGCCTGTTCCAGAGCATCATCGAAGAGGGTTTCGGTCAGGCTAGGAAATAATCAGGCATTGGTAGCAGCAAGAGACTACATTGAGGCTCACCAGTTTGTCTGTTTGCAATGTTAGCTATGTATAGAATTCACCAAGTTGTCACAAGTTCTACCTTCTTATGCGCATCAATGGCTCTGTCACATGATATGTTAGTATATATCTCTCACGGAGTTCAATGATTGACTTTCTGTGTGATATAAGCCAGAGTTACGTCTTGACTCCTGAGCTTTCCACTCGAAATCTTATCGGCCAAGATGGTGATATCATCGACTTGGGTAATGGCGTTGTATGCATCCTGAGTGTCGTCTTTGTCTGATAGGTTCTTGGTTACAAAGGCAGAGATGGCACGGGTCCGTTGCCGTCGCTTCTCTGCGACAACTTGTTGCCAGATTTTTGATTCCATAGCGACTAACAGATCTAACGATAAGGAATGCTAGGGAGGTCGCGTATCTGTCTGTCAAGGTTCAGAGGCTGTTGTTGTAAAAGTTGGAGGTGGTTGAATAACCCCGCATATACCCGCACCCGTTACCCGCCGCTGCTTATGAAGATTTTCGGGTGCAACATCCGAAATGCAAGTGATGGATGCTTGGCATATACCTAATAAAAGCTCTATTTATTTATCGGTCAGAGGGAGACACCCATAGTCGCGCTCAAGGGCTGGATCACCGAGATAGAATCCCTCTGATTCCTATAGAGGCATAATCTAACAATAAAGTTTGCCTTAAAGCTGAGCGGTCAAAAGCCAGGCACGGGTCCTCTAATACAACTCGGTACGCGATCAGCAGTCATGGCGTGATATTAAGGACTGATGAATCTGCCTGAATAACTTACCCGTACAATTATCGCAAGGTTCCTCAGCCTCAGAGTTTTGGCATCGTAATCTCGGCCTAACTTCAGCTGAATCAAGACGTAGAGGTGCTGCTTTCTATGATGTCATTGGCTGGTTTGGCGATGCCGCATATCCGTCGTGAGTCTTCGAAGGATTCGTTGCGTGCCAAAGGAAGCGTATAAAAAGGCCACAGCTGCTTCATCTTCACATCAATAAGCCTGGCGCTCTTGGGAACAACATTTTTTTCTTGTCTCTGTAATTTACTACGGGCCTGTGCAGAATACCTAAATTTATCTGGAAGTGAAAACTTCTTCGAGAACACCACAGCTTATACAAATTCTTCCAACACTTGCACCTGACTCCAATGGCACCATTGAAAGTGTTGATATACGGAGGCGGCTGTACCGGACCAGCTTTGGCCTTCTGGCTCACCCGTCTCGGTCATCATGTCACTATCGTTGAGCGGTTCCCAGCCCTGCGTGCAACTGGAGCACAAATCGACTTCCGGGAACAAGGCATTGCGACTCTCAAAGTAATGGGAATTATAGATGAGATACGCGTCAAGCTAGTTGACGAAGCAGGCGTTGCTTTCGTCGACACAAATGGAAAGATCTTGGGAACAGTGCTCGCCAATACATCAGGCAAAGGCGCCCAGTCCATAACTTCGGAGTTTGAAATCATGAGAGGAGATGTTGTAAGGATTCTCTACGATGCAACGAAGGACGATGTCAAGTATGTTTTCAACACAACAGTGGAAAAGTTTGAGCAAGACGATAAGAGCGTTCTTGCGCACTTCTCTGATGGGACGTCAGATACTTTTGATATCCTTGTTGGAGCAGATGGTCAGGGCTCAAGAATTCGAAAGGCTATTGAGCCCTCTGACGCCCCGGATCCTTACCGAAAACTTGGTATTCACATGGCGTATTATTTCATCCCGCGCGAAGAAGGCGATAGTAATATCCGCAGGACATATCAAGCTTCACAAGGTCGAATGATATTCCGTCGAACGCACAACTCAACAGAAACGCAGGTCTATCTCATTCTCAAAGACGATTCTCCCGAAGTCTCTAGTGTTCATAGAGGCTCAGTTGAGCAGCAGAAAGAGTTCTGGACACAAAGGTTTCGCGGTGCAGGATGGCAAACAGAGCGTTTTCTCGAGGGCATGAAGACAACCGAGAACTTTTACTCCCAAGAAGTTGTCCAGGTTCAGACAAACACTTGGCATAAAGGCCGCGTGGTCCTCCTGGGTGATGCAGCTCATTGCCCCTCTCCATTCAGCGGCATGGGAACTACACTTGGCTTCATCGGTGCCTATGTTCTAGCGGGTGAGATTCAGAAGAACCCTGAGAACTTGTCCTTGGCTTTCGAGAACTACGACAAAGTGCTGCGGCCATTTGTTGACGAGGTTCAGAATATCAAGATTGGGCTTATCCGGCGGGCTATACCTGATACTCAATTAGGTGTTACGATTATTCAGTGGATTGCTTGGTTTGTATGCCTTCTGAGGATTCCTTATCTTATTTCGAGGTTCTCAAGTGAGGAGAAAGCAGGTTGGCCGTTGCCGAAGTACCCTGCTCTGAAGGCGAGCAAGTGAACTTTGGTTTATCTGCCGTAACTTTAGAGGCACTGGGCGTTTTGTGTTGGATATACAGCAACTCTACTCAGCCATAGCAGGACGAGGCTAATCTGGACAAACAGTATTTATACTACTAAAGATTTTTATTTTAGTTTCAGCAACTCAATTTGTATTCAATTGACCTAATTCCATTTATTGGGGAACCTCAACGTCCTTGCTAGTATCAAGCTCCTCGAATCTTCTCAAGTCCATGGGCTTCTCCAGCAGGGGAATGACATAAGGGTCGAAAGTCTTCCAGTAAGGGTTCTCAAGATGATACTTCTGGCTCTGCAATACAATCAGCACACATCCCCATGTTCAATTGACAAATTACTTACGCTCTCTTGCTCATAGCGCTCCACGATGGTGAAAGCACGTCGGTCAGCGGTGGACTGCATGACGTGCCATGAGAGGGTCTCCTTGTCCTGGGAGTAGACGCGGCTAGCCTCGATGAGCTTGGCCGTGAGCTTCTTGAGGGACTCCTCATCGTCCTTGGCGTAGAGGTGGACAACGATTGTGTAGACCATTTTGGCTGGCGTGATGTGGATGTGGATGTGTATGGGGATATGGCTCGTGAGTATTGAGGAGGGGTTGTCGTGCGTATTGGTTTTATGGTTTCTGCTAGGAAGTGGGGATCATGTGATCTCCCCACTGATCGACTGATGCCAACGAGATGCGCGATTACCGCCCTCGGGGTACTAATTGTGCTGGGTGAACAGCTTTGATCTATGTAGAGTACCTAAGGCATGAAGTAGCAACGTAGGTGTTTTCTAAGGAACTTTAATAAGGCGTTGTCAAATCAGCTGTTCTAGGGTAAGCGGATGGATTGGGTCATTGGAACAGCAACAAAGACAACGTTAAAGGCTACTGCGAACTCTATGTTAGATTCTCATAAATGAATACATAGTATGTAATTAATGAGGTGGAATCTAACAGAACGGTATTTTGTGGCTTCTATAAAAATGTTGAACTGTTGGTTCTTTCGTTCGTTGAGTGTCATTCTTCCCATGTCAGGAGACAAAAACAGAATTGATATCTTATCAACCAAGCTCGAAGAGTTTTTGTAAGACTTTTGCATATACTCAGGTTAATATATGTGGTTATAAAAAGTACGCCTAGCATTTCGTATCTCGATCTCAAACACCATAGATATACGGAGTACTAGTCAGTGCTTTGGTGTTTTGAAAAAATTCATCAACTCCTTAGTGCCACATCACCAAGCAATGTCGTCATCACGTCTCGTCTAGAGCAGAAAAAACACAAAGTGATTTGCGCCCAAAGATTCTCTGGAACCCGCATGGAAGCTTTTCACTAACCTAGTGCGTGCATTGTACTCATCCCTGTCCTGTCCCCTCCGAAGGTCGCCCGCCAAGGAAGATCTTTCAAGGATCCACAGGTGCCGCCTCACCGAGACCGTGCATGACTCGACCCACTGGGAGCCTCACGGCACTTATCTATCAGTGGGTCAAGGGATCATTCCGCCCTGGATCGGAATTCGATAAGGACAAACAGTGGCTGGATGCAACCTTTCCTCAGATACGTTTTTCTGGAATTCTGACATTTCATCTTTTAGGTTTACCAAGAGAATGGATGGCCTTCTCCAGGTCTCTTCTCCAAGTTTTGAATGTGACATGTAACGGTGCAGAATGTAACTCGGCCGAGTTGTTGGTTGGTTGGATGAGGCGAAAAAGAAAAGGGTCCTCATTTTACTGCAGCAACACACGCGAGCTGAAAAAACAAACCTTGCATCGAATGATAGAAACTTGGAATCGCCTCACTAAGACTCAGGGATCGGAAGCTCAACACACGATCCTCGGCCATGTTCTGATGAAAAGGAAGCCTTGGCGAGAGGAGGATTCTCCGATCCTCGTCCCTCCCGGAGCCTCATGACAGATAGATCTAATCATCACGGGAACAACATCTCGGCACGCGAGTCAGACCAGGACTCGGAGTCTTGTAACCTACCGAGTGAGAACTCTACAGATTTCAGTGACGCAAGGCATCATTTATACACAACAGAGCTGTAAAAGGTCCGCTGCGCTATCACCACGGGGATATGGCTAGCAAGGTATGAAAATTTTAATTTCTGGATCGTGTTTTGGTGAGTTAGTTATAGGAGAGGATCTGTCTTAACACCGAGTTATCTCGACTCGACGTCATATGTTCTCGGACCGAGACCCACACCGAGCGGACCGGCGCTCCCGGACACTCCGCCGTCTTAATTGGAATCTCACCTTAAGCCCGAAAAGGCACCGCCCTGATTATCGAGAATCTGAAAATGGCCACCGAGTTTACGATCGCCAATTCTGGCTGTCAAATCTTCAAGTAGAATTCCAGAAGAAAAGAATCTTTCTAGTGTATCTTGCCCCTGGGACTAGTGCACTGAAATACATCATTTATTGTTCACAGCAAAGAAACATGAGTCGTGATGGGGAACCCACAGAGTCTCGGCGGCTTCGTGGTGGTATAGTGGACCGAAATCACGACTCCACACCTCGCAACGACCAAACATGCACGGGAACAGACAACGTGCGATGATAAGACAAGTGGGAAGACGAGACAATCAATGTCATCATACTGGGCCAGACGAAATGATGCTCCAAAACTCTTTTATAGCTCTTATCTCTCTCTCCCTCTGAGTCAACCTCCCATCTAACAGCACGCTCTCTCCTTATCACACCCAACCCATCATGTCTAATTATATCCCATCTTTCTCTGCGCCCAACTCAAGGCCCGGATCCCCTCTCCCTCTGGGGTCACCGTCTGCTTCAAGACCTACCAGCTTCTACGCCAATTCCAGAGCGAATTCGTTCGTGGGCACGAGACGAAACTCTGCTGTTCCTCCGGCCTCGAGAAAGAACTCTGTTGCTGTTCCCTCGAGGAAGAATTCTACTGCGCCCCCTTCAAGAAGACACAGTGAGGATAAGGGTGCTTCGGATCCTGAGTCTACAGACCTCGAGGTTCTGAAGAATGAAAAGGGTGAACCCCTTGCTGGGCGTATTGTTGGTGGTAAATATGTCGATCCAAGCAATGAGTCCGTCGACCCGGAGTTTGGGGCTATCAAGACTGTCGATATCGATATGCCCCTTACGTTGACGGAGCTTGTTAATGAGAAGGGCAAGGAGTATATCGTGCTTGGTTTTGCGACTGGCGATAAAGAGAATCCTTTTAACTGGAATCCTTGGTATAAGCGATCCATCTCGACTATTCTCAACTTGATGACCTTGTTTATTGGTCTTGCTACCACTGCCTACAGCTCAGGTATTGCGAGCATGTGCAAGGACCTCGATGCTCCTAACATCAAGGGCCAATTGGGTCTTTTCACTTTCAACATCAGCTGTGCTGTCGCACCCATGATTCTTGCTCCCTTCTGTGAGTTGGTCGGTCGCAAGGTCGTCTACGCCAGTTCATTCCTGTGCTTCTCACTCCTCTTCATCGGTCTTGCTCTCGCCAAGGACATCGACACCATTATTGGACTTCGACTCCTACTGGGCCTTTTCGGCTGCGTCGGTACTATTCTCGTCGGTGGTACCTTTGACGATATGTATGAGCCTCACCACCGAAGTCGACCTATGGCCATGTTCAGTTGGGTCGCTATTTTCGGAACTGTCGCTGCTCCCATCTACGCTGGTTTCATTGATCAAGCCATTGGGTGGCGATGGATCGAGGGTATTCAGGGCATTGCTAACGTTCCTCTGCTCCTTGTTATCTTCTTCTACTTCCCCGAGACTCGAGGTGGTGTTGCTCTTCATAAGCGCGCCAAGGCTCTTCGACAAGCTACTGGTGATGAGCGCTACGTCTCTGCTGGCGATATCCTGACCCCCAGTCTCCAGGCTATGCTTAAGGCTAGCTCCGTCAAGGCTATTCACATGTTGGTCACTGAGCCTGTCGTCTTCGCCTTCGGTCTCTGGATCGCCTTCTGCTGGGCTGTTGTCTTCCTCTTCCTCTCCGTTATCCCCATCACCTTCCAGGAGCACCACGGTTGGGGTGAGGGTGTCAGCGGTCTTCCTTACATCTCTCTCTGCATTGGCACTACCCTCGGCTGGTTGGCCCATCACCTTCAGATGCGCAAGTTTGACCGGCTTGTCGCCGACCCCAACATCAAGGTCACCCCCGAAGCCCGTCTCTACGGCGCCATGTATGGAGCTGTCTTCCTCCCCATTGGTCTGTTCATCTACAGCTTCACCCAATATTCTCACGTCTCTTGGGTTGGCCCTGCCATTGGTCTTGCTCCTATTGCCTTTGGTATCTACTTCGTTTTCGAGAGTACCTACAGTTACACTGCTGATTGCTATGGTGAGAGCTCTTCTTCTGCCATTGCTGGCCAGGGTCTTATGCGAAACACTCTTGGCGCTGTCACGCCTTTGTTCGCCAATGCTTTCTTCCACAATGTTGGAAGCCAGTATGCTGGTCTCATCCTTGCCTTGTTTGGTACTGTACTGAGCTTGATTCCCTTCGTCATGTTCAAGTATGGATATAAGCTCCGAGCTCGCAGCAAGCTGGCTATTGAGATGTAAATTACAATTATATGTATATGATAGAAAATCCGTCAATGATCTGGAACGAAATAAGAAATAGATAGCATTGAACTATGGAACATTTGTTAATGATTGAAAACATGGCCTTTATAAGTACTCGAAGACACGTAATTGAAGAATTAGGAAACGTTGACAGTAACAAAAAATGATTGTAAGTAGGTGAATTGGTAGTGATGGTGAAGAAAGAGGCTACGAAAGGCTGCGGTTTGATGTTAGTTGCAAGGTTTGTTTTTCAAGTGGATGTTGGGTATATAAGTCTGCCTGCAATTACTTCCTCCAACAAAATCACGAGGCATCGCCTCGTAACACCAGCGACCGTGGTGTAGTGGTTAGCATTAACGCCTTCCAAGCGTTAGAGAGGGGTTCGATTCCCCTCGGTCGCATTTTTGGTTCCAATGTGTCTTATCCCTGCTGTGATACCCCTGTCCACCCAGTGGGCCAGTGATAGTGAGAAAACCACGATAAGGAGGTACAAACATTTTACTATAAGCAGTCTAATCACTTACTTTATTCTTGCTGTCTTGTTTTTGGGTCCATTGACTAAAGACATTTATTTTATTGATCCCTTGATAATTGCTACGTCAGACTCTCTAATCGAGACTCACGAGGTCCTGTATACTTAATTTAAAGTACTATCTATGGACAATGTTATTCTATGATATTTCTTATCAATGCTGCCAGCCAAACATAACGCCTGTAAATCGCAATTGAACATCTTGAAGTAGCCCCCTTTGAGCAGACCACTGATCCCCACCTAACAATTCACTGACCTTTGCTATCAACCGACCCAATCTCCTCATTCTAGCATCCATGAATTCCTTCTCACATGACTGTCATAATCCCCATCCTGGCCATTGGCCATCTCATATACCGCTGGTCGATGATCAGCTTGAAGGTGGTCTGCCTGAAGGTCTCGGTCCTGTAACTTAAGACTATCAAGCAGCTTCGCACAAATATCGATGAGAAGGATGACATTCCGTGATTGAGAAGAGCACTTTGAACAATGAAGCAACTCTTCACACCTTGATATGGCTGGCTTTTGAGCCTGTATGGACTTTTGAGATGCGGGGTGTTTGGAAGATATGTTGATTGTGAGGGCCTCCCATGTTTCCATAGGAGTGATAGAACATTGACATGATGATATCCTACCGTCCGGGGGACCATGGTCGTGGAGTTGTTCTGTCCTTGCTGGCCAATTTCCACTGGTTGATATCGTTGACTGTGGGAAAGGGAAGCTATCATGTGGATAGAGATCGTCGTCGAGCATGCTTTCTAGTGGGGGTGAAGTCAGAAAGCTTATGGGTGAGTTCAAGACTTGGTCCATGCTGACGGTCGAATCGAAAGTTGTGTCATGACTGAAATCTCTGGTGTTTGTAGGAGTTGACGATATGTCTTGGGGAGATCCAAACATAAACTCAGACCAATCTGGTTCCATGTGTTGAAATTCCGGATGCATTCCCTCCGACTCCTGAACTACAGCCTGACTGATATTGGAGCTCTGTATGTTTCTGGGATCGTCCTCGGCAATGTGGGATCCATCGGTGAAGGGAGTTAGCAGTCCTCCAGATCTCGATTCAGACCTCTCTTTCTGCTTCACCTGTCTTCTTCCTTTTACAGAACCAAAGTTATGCTCGGTATCGCTATCGGCCTCGTATTCGCACTGCAGGTCCCGACTACGACAGTTTCTGCAGCCATCAGGTTCACTTGTGCAACGTAGCTGTCACATTGGACCAGGTTAGTGCATGAACTTGGAATACATAGCGGCTGAAACATACCTTTCGGGTACGGCAGGGGTTGCAAGCAGATCGTCGAGGCTTTCCGTTTTGAGCTTTTTCGAACGGTGGTCCAGTGGGAAGCACTACATATGAGTTCCTGTTCTGTTTCCAAGTGTTGAACATGTTGATGATAATGGAACGAGGGGGGTTACACGTTGCAATACTACCGACAACGCAGAGTTTATATCAAGATTCTGATGTCTGCTGCTTGCTAGTAGTTGGTAAGATTCCCCTCCTTCATAGGGTAAGGTACCCCAGAATGACTGCGTATCCAGTAGCCCGAGAGGAATGAATATACGACAACATGGATCTACATAAGCGAAAACCACCTCATCCACCCCGCCGCTTCCTCTGGTAGAGTTATGTGGCCCATACGAACTGATGATGAGCCTGTCAAAACGCAAAAAGGGTCGCATCTGCCTTACATGGTGAGAATGTCACAAAGCAACAGCATGTATGATCATTGCGGACTGTTGAGTCATCTCAGCTTCTTCTCGTCCTGGCTGTCTTGCCGGCCAATATTCTATTACACTTTCTAGTATATGTTCCATCTTGGCTGTGAAAGTGAGGTAGTCTGCGCCAGGACCAGGAACTTTTGCTGCGGTATAGGCGTGGCTTGCATTCGCATACGACTCTCTGATTTACTGGGATTTTGATCCGCACAGATAAAGCCGCAGAACCGAGGTCCTAACTGGACCCCTGTGACCCAAAAGAGAGGTAAATAAAACAAGCATTAATCGGAGGGCATTTGGTAAAATGCGACCCTGTTTGCCACAATACGTCGTTCTGCGGAGGTATAAGCCGCATGAGATAATACAAGCATTTTGATCCTTCAATTCTGGGGCGCCAGCTCAGAGCGCTAACTAAGTACGTATCTTATATCTAATCTAAACGCCGGGATTCGGAGCAGACACGGCACGGCCCGTTCAACTAATGCCAGAGCTAGGTAGTTGAATACCTAGCCAGCCATAATCTCTATTCCCTCTGCACTTACTCTCGACCAGATATCGATAATGATGGGATGTAAACGCTGCTCAGGCTGGTGCTCAAGACCTTGGGCTTTGCGCTTCTTGATCAGGTTATCGCTAAGAACCCCGACATATGAAAGTCCTAGGATATTGCCGATGCCGCCTGGAATGAAAGACAAGCCAGCACCTATGGAGTTGAAACCATAAGCATCTTTATAGACGAACGTAAATGTTGTAAGTAGGATGTAAAAGATACCGTACACCACGGCGAGGTAGACACACATGGCCATCACTATGAAGCTGAAGCAGAACATACGTGTTGGACGGATGATAGCTGCCAAGAAGAGCTCTCTGGGGGTGCCTTTCTTCTTGGTTCGAGGCTGATACAGCTCGTTCCCCGTCTCTTTGCGAAGACGTTTGGCTTTTCTCTCGAGAAGCACTGGTGCGTAACTCTCTCGTAAGATGAAGAATGATGCCGGAACAGCAACTCCAGCCTGGCGATAACATTAGAATCTGCAATGTAAAGAATCATGCGGGTTTATTTCGAGACTTACCACAATAGTGATGATCCAGAATACCCACCTCCAGCCCTTGGCCTCAACAAGGAACCCGGCACATACAGGTCCAACTACGGGACCTGTCAACGGCCCCAGAGACCAGAGGGAAATCGCGCGGCCTCTCTGCTCTGCTGGCATCATATCAGCGATAGAGCCACTGCCACACGTGATGACAGCTACGCCAGATACCCCAGACAGGAAACGAAACGCCATCAGCATGGGCACTCCATTCGACAGAGCGCAACATGCTGAGAAGACAACAAAGAGACTGTTGCAGACGTGATATATAGGTATGCGGCCGTAGAGTTCGCTGAGTGGCGCGATGAATAAGGGTCCGAAGGCGAAGCCAAGAATGAAGATGGATACGACGAACGTCGCTTCGGTGTCGTTTGAGCTTCCAAACTCTTCCATTATCTGGGGCACTCCTGGTGCCATCATTGACGATGCAAGTGGCCTGCGCATTGATAAGCATGCTGTCAAAAATACCTGTATCGAGGGAACATACGTCAAGAAAGAGAGGAACGATATCGTGGCTATCATGCCCCATTTCCGACCATTTGACCAGCTCATGGGGTTCTCTGGGTCGCGATTAGCTGGCTCTTCCCACCAGACTGAATAAGCGTCCTCATTTCTTGTCGCCGCAGGGCCTGTTTCTACCTCTGACTCCGTTGTCGAGGGCTCCTATGTTGTCTCTGTAAGCGACTTTGCGAAGGTGACCAGCCGCTCCAGGCAACGTCGGTTGTGGCCAGGGCAAAGGATTCTCTAATGCAGCCAAGCAAAGCAGAATTTTGGGACGAGCCAACTATCAGCAACATGGATGATTCGATGTTGCGAGAAGAAAAGACCAGCGCAGTTAAGCAGAAGAGGCGGGCCTTTTGCTCTGCTGTTGGTGGTGCTTTGGCGATCTTTGTCTTACATGGATGTTCGGAAAGATACCATATATAGTTTAGTATGCCAAGATGCAGGGATCCAGCATCGAACTGGAGTATTTCCGTCGGATCAAGGGAGAACGTTGTGACGGAAAGTCACTTGATGGAGTACAAATACGAAAATGAGGTAGTGCTCGGATAATGATCGTCGTGGTGCTTTGGCGGCAGTTCCGTCTTACATTGTCGATGAGGAAATTACCATACGTCTTATACAAGGCCTAACACAAAATTGTAAGCACGGAGTAATAAGCAAACTAATTTGTAAGCGAATCATTTAGTGGTGACCAGCAATGCCAGTCTTGAAGTTTGCAAACGTCTGTCTGTTGGAGGTGTTTTCAAGAGCCAGTGATGTGCGGAGATCTCGGCGACGGGCCGATATTCCTTTCCGTAAGTAAAGACAGATGAAAACATCATTATGTATTCACTTCTGAACGTATTCAGTTTGTTTTGGGAGGACTAAAGATTTCGGAGTCTGGTAGAAATCGCCTCCAAGAGACGATTGTGCCAAACCAGGAAATTGCAAACTTGAGGATACAATAACAAACTGTGTCTTACAGCTAAGGAGAACCAGAGCAAAAGCACCAGTAGCATGAATAAAAAACTAGTTTCTAATTTTAGATTGCGCATATTCATTCCATTCTAAGCTAGAGTACTTCTTTACTCTAAGTCGCCATCAATACTGTTTTGCAGCCATTGCCATTCAAGTCAGCCACCGACTCTCCAGAATGCAGCCCACAGATTTACCGAAGCCCATTGACTTTGATCAACACTTCGTCCTCAATGTGAAGAGCAATGTAGTCCTTCCAACGAAGCGTGCCCTGGTTCTTGTCATGCAAGCTCAGGTCGAATCGTCGAATGAGGTTCCCGAGGAACACATAGGCTTCCATGTAGGACAAGTTAAGGCCAACGCACATACGCGGACCCTTACTGAATGGTATCAGGTTCTTCTTGGAAGCCTTGTCGCTATTGTCGAGCCATCGCTCGGGCATGAAGGTCTCGGGCTCCGGGAAGAGGACTGGGTCGTAGTGGATCAGACGTTGGGCTGTTGAGACGGAAGTCTAGGCGAAGGCCGTGTCAGCAAGGACGTAAATACTCGGTAAAAGTTGTAGGAATACTTACATCCGCAGGCAGGAAGTGGCTACCGTATTTTGTTCCTCCAGATGGCACCAGACGTGTGAGGATGCCAGGAGCTGGGGAGGAGATACGAAGAGTTTCGTGGATAACAGCAGTCTACAGATATCACAGTAAGTAATCTGACATCAGCGATCGGACTGTTGTAGTTCATGCTCACCAGGTAAGGTAGATTCATCAGATTCGGGTACTCCATCAGCCCATCGCTGTTTGTCTCAACTGTGCGAAGCTCCTCCAGCATCTTCTTCTCAACCTCAGGGTTCTTCAGGATACACCAGACGCCATAAGTTATGGTCGTCACAGTAGTCTCGGTACCACCGATGACGAGGGAAAAGGCTTCATCGACCAGTTCCTTGGTTGAGCGATCGGGCTCGGCGTCTAGAATGGCGTCGAAGACGGTCTGACGACCAGTCTCATCGGTGTAAACGCCATTCTGATGTCTCTCGCGCACTTCGTTGGCCCATTGAGCACATTGCTAGACAGTATTAGCTTTGCTGCGAATTAGGTGATGGAAGCGAGAATGAACAGGACGTACGTTGCGGAACTCGACGAAGCCTGGGATAATGTAGGTTAGGACGTGCGTGGGAAAAGACTGCATGATCTTTCCAAGCATAGGGAAGTGTTTGATGAGACTGAAGCTATGAGGCAATGCGACCATCGAGTCGACGAGTGCCTCGGTTCCTTCTTTTCCTTGGGTACAGTTCATATCTTTACCGAAGCAAAGCTTCATGATGATGTCCATCTATTCGTCTTGTCAGCAGGCCACAGTAAGCGGTGGGGTGTTGGATGACATACTGCGAAGTTTGACTCAAGTCGCTTTAAGCTAACAGGCTTGCCAGTTTCATACGAGTCTCCAATCTTCTTGAGAGCACCCTTGATGATCTGGAGAGCCAGAGGTGAGAAATCTTTGATCGCGCGGGGTGAGAACATGGGATTAACAATGCCGCGACGGACTTTGTGGGCTGCGGGATCGGTGATGAATGGCAGGGCGTCAAGTTCACCAGCGAATCTGAACATGGCAGGCTCCTTAAGGAACTTGGTTCCAGTCGAATAAACCCTTCAGAGATCGCAGTGGTCAGTGGTATATAGCCGCCATTGGGGTATTTGCGTGCTCACTTGTGGTAAAAGTTTGGGTCATTGATGTGTACTCTGTTGGGGCTCATTCGGACAATTGGACCTGAGACCACATCAGCAACCAAAACACATATATCAGGGTCATGTCACTTACCATATTTCTCATGAAGTCGAGGATAATCCTTGATGTAGTGGCCATCGAGAATGACGTCCTGGTAGAACTCATACCAGCCAGTAGCCGCCGCAATCTTAGGCCCTGGGACGTTCCTCAGGGGATGCAAGAAGAGGCGATAAAATACCAGGCATAGCCAATAAAAGGCAAATCCACCAGAGGCCAAAGCAGTGTAGTAGATGATGTTCCATGAAGTAGAGGTTGGCGACCAGATACGTGCTGACAGGAAGCCAGTGTTGAACATGGCTTCACGTGGAATGATGAGCTTGATGGAAGACATGGTGAAGGTGTATTTGTCTCAATAGCTTTTGTCTTTGCATTTTCACAACTCTCTTCCAAGCCCTTTTTAACAAGTTTGTACGTTGTAAGAGGTCCATAACTCAGTCTATGTTCATGGAGAGATCTCCCAAATAGGTAATTTTCCAGCTCCGTAGGATGCCGGGTTGCAGATCGTTGGCTGACAGAGGGCGGTAATGCCCAAAATGGCATCTTTTCGTGCTTACACTTCCAAGATTACTACTTTCTATAAAGAGGAAGTCGACACTGGATATGTTAGAGTAGTATATTTATAGTCAACATGCTTCACGACCTGATGAGAGCAAACCACTACAGCTCATCACTCGCCTTGACAAGTTATACGGTTCATCAAGATGATTGCTACTATAAATGGAGACACCAAGATCAATGAAAAAGGCCATCCGACCGAAGTCCGCATTCCGGACATGTTCGGCTCCATAATGTCTGCGACGCCTACAGTGAACCCTCACCACTTCAAGGTCAAGGCCGCAGCCGACGCCTTCATAGCTGAGTGGGCTTACCCTACCTCTTTTCAGACTGAAGCCTGTTCTAACTAAAGTCTAGTTATCTCAAGATGGACAAGCACGAAGCGGCTAAGAACAGAAAAGCGGACTTCTGTTTCTGCGCCTCGGCCATGGCTCCTCATGCAGATGCAGAAGCGCTTAGGACCATGGTTGACTGGCTGAACTGGGTATGTAAAAGAACCCCCAAACTCTCCAAAGTTTCGGGGTATCGACTGACGTGGATAATCAGATCTTCTACTTTGACGACGACTTTGATGAGGGTCAACTTGACCGAGACCCAGTGGCTGCAGAGAAAGAGATTAGACATACACTTGCTGTGCTCGAAGATGATGCTGAGATTCCTGACAGAGAGAAATATCCCTTGCGATACTTGTTCCGTACCATCTGGGAGCGAGTTCAAGAGGTACGCTCTCCAGGGAGCTCTTTTACGAAGATTTGCTAATCGCTTTTGTACGCAGAGGGCGTATCCTGATGTCCAGACGCAATTCAAGATCACGCACAAGCGATACTTGGACGGCCTGTTACATCAGGTCGAAGCGACACGCGATGGAAATGGTCAGCCTCGGACAGAGGAGGACTACATCAGAATGCGGAGGAGGACTGTTGGTGGATATCCATGCATCAGTCTCATCGCGTGAGTCCCGACTAACTTTTCAAATGGAATTGAGATTAACGATGTCTTATAGCTATGCGCATAATGTAAACTTGTCACAGGAGGCATTTGAGCACCCTTCTGTTCAGGAATGCATAGCTGTAGGATGCGACCTCGCTTGGATGTAAGTGGCATACACCCTCTGCCCTTGAGATCTCTGCTAATACAACGGAGCCACAACGATATCGTCTCGTACAAGAAAGATGTCAAGTCAGGTATTGAGCACAACTTTGTCACAGTCCTGAAGAAGAACGGCTTCACCACCCAACAGGCCATGGATAGAGCTGGTGAACTCCAGGACGAGTGCTACCGTCGATGGTACCTCGCCCTGGCGAGCATGCCAATCTGGGGTGAGTCGATCGATCGCGAAGTTTTGAGATATATCGAGGCGTGCCATAGCTTTCCTCTCGGGGACTTGCTTTGGAGCTTCCAGACAGGGCGATATCTGGGAGCCACGGAGGGGTATAAGTTGCACGAGACGAGGGTCTTGGACCTGTCAGACTTGAAATCCATTTCTGTGTGATCTTCCCTTGCGCTGATGCTTTTACATGGTATTGGGTTGTTGAGGAGCAAACGAAGGGGCTTTCTTAGAGTAAGGTAGCATGAATGAGATTACAAATTGGCATTTGCGACATCGGTACCTCGCCATATACTTCACAAATGACATTATTAGCTATCTCAACGCGATAATTAATTAACATTGGCTGCTTCAATCAGTACGTCTTGTAAATAGGGAATTAGTGGGGAATAAGATGGCGTGCTCGAATCAGTGTCGAGGTTCATCCAATAAGTTACACTTGGGGTAAGACTCGATTGAGATACCAGGACGTGAATTAGTTGTTCATCTCCTTAATATGAGTTCATATCTCAATTCGAATACTCTATAGCAACCATGTCGAGTCAAGAAGAGTCCCCTAAGCTCGAGGTAGCGATCGCTGGGGGTGGCATCGCCGGCCTCATCACAGCAATCGCACTCCTCAAACACCCCAACGTCAATGTACAAGTCTATGAGCGAGCACCAGAGTTTAAAGAAATCGGCGCAAGTATAGCTCTGGGTCCTAATGGTCTCAGGACACTCGACCGTCTCGGTGTCGAAAATGCCCTGGCGGAAGGCTTTGCTCAACGGCAAAAGTCGGGATATCCCATGATATACCGACACTGGAAGACTGGAGAAGTCATCGATTATGATGTCCACAGTACAGTACAGAAAAGGAAACATGCGACTGCGCGGTTCCATCGTGCACATCTTCATCAGGCGCTGCTAGAGAATTTGCCAGAGGGTATTGTTCATCTGGGGAAGACGACTGTTGATGTCAAGGCGCATTCTGATGAAGGTGCTACGCTTTACTTTGAGGATGGGACCACGGCGACGGCTGATGTTGTTATTGGAGCTGATGGCTTACGATCGGTATGTTCCAGGCACTTCTCGGGATAACAGATTATTGACATCTTGACAGAAAGTCCGCAAGACGTTTGTACCAGAGCATGAACTGCACTGGACAGGCTGGGTCGCTTTCCGCGCTGTCTTTGACGCCGACAGATTGAAGGATGTTGAGTATCCTGAAGATGCAGCTCACTGGGTAAGTCCTGAAAGACTCTGAACTTAGTAGGTTGCTGAGAAATTAATAGGCTGGTCATGAGACAACGTTCTTCCATTCTCATCTAGGTAAGAGACCAGTACTTCTTTGTCGAAGCTGTCGCTAACGCATGACTAGGCAAAGGCTTATTCACTATAGTCGGTGGCTATCACGCAGATCCTCAAGACCCCAAGTCGCCAGGTCAAGACGCAAAATGGGATGAAGATGGCAGTGCCGAAGAGTTCAAGAGATTATACCAAGTGAGCGAGCCCTCCCGAGAACCATTGACTATGCTAACACCCCGAAGCATTGGAACCCAACAATCCGGGCATTCATAGAAGCAACACCCTACGTCAAACTCTTCCCCAACTACGCCGGCGCAGCTCTCGATACCTGGTCCTTCTCCAACCGTGTAGCTCTTGTCGGCGACGCAGCTCACACCCACGGCGGATCCTTCGCGGCAGGGGGATCACTGGCTATCGACGATGCATACGCCTTGTACCGCTCGCTCGATCACGTCTGGCCTCCTTCATCAGCGCGAACAGGAAAGCCGTCCAAGGCTCAGCTTGCACAAGTACTTGAGTTGTATGAAGCAACTCGTAAATCGCATCTAGATAAGCTCTTGGGTATCGTCCATAGGAACATTTCGGGGCAGAAGTCGAATATAGAGAGAGCGACGACGGAGACGGACGAGCAGTTGAGACTGAGGGTGAAGGGGAGGATGAATCCTTCGTGGATTAGTGAGCATGATGTTGTTGCTGCGTTTGAACGGGCTGTTGAGAGGATAGAAGGCGGGCAGAAACCGGTGCGGGAACCTAGCGCAAGGTTGTGAGCACGGTGATCAGATAGATCTTTTCCAATTTTATCAACACAGTTACATCAATGGTGTCATGGCAGGCAAACTTGCGCAGGAAAGTGAGTGCCAGGCAAAGTCGTTCAACCTGCGTGTTGATCAGTAGCTCAGAGGGCATCTATCTGTACTCACATCTGCGCATCATAGAATAAGAGAGCAAGATAAGAAATCACATCAAGAAGTAGAGTGAGAAATGTTGTTAACAATGTTAATTGAACTATATTCGCAAGTGATATCATCCAGTCATGTCCAGGCTAAACAAATACAAGAATCGAAGCACCCGCTTCAAACTTCTGAAGTCCTCTTGTTTCTCTTGAAGAAGCAAGGCATCACCAACTCGCCCATCTCGTGCCAGAAACCGACAGGAGGCTCAGTGAAGGTAGCCTCGTACGCCTCAATCATGGGTCGCTCCCAAACCAAGTCAACCTCGTGAGGTCGGATGTACTTGGTCTTCTTAAAGACCTTCCAGCCAACAAAGAGGAGGACAGCGAGGATCTGCATCGAGTAGTTCTGGAAGAACACCTCAACGTCGAACTTGGGTCGGAAAGCGTAGTATCCGTAGCAGAGACAAATGATGGTTTGGGCAACGAGGGCGATGTAGGCACCGTAAGGCTGGAAGTAGCCGTAGTAGGGTCGCTCAGTCTTGCGGTCGACGCCCTGGGCGACACAGGCGCGGTGATAGTTGATGAATGTGATGGACATGATTATGAAGGTGATAAGACCGCCACCAGTGACGATGCTGATCAGCCAGCCGAGAACCTTGGCGGAACCGTTGGCGCACTGGAGTAAGGACAGGAAGGGGAACATCATGGTGACACAGAAGCAGTAGACGGGAATACCGGCCTTGTTGCAGTATCGGAGGAATCGAGGGGCGCGTCCCTCAATGGCCAAAGAGTAGAGAGCTCGGGTGGCGCAGTAGGTGTATGTGTTACCGGCGGAGAAGATGGAAGTGAGGATCAGGAAGTTGACGAGATGAGGGAGACCGGTTATTCCAAGGTTGGTCATGGCGATGACATAAGGGGAAGAAGCAGCGTTTCCAGTACCGCCAGCACCGAAGTAGATGTCGACGAGCTTGGGGTCGTTGTACGCACAGACAATGCCAACAGCGAGAGCACCAACGCCGAAGAAGATGAGGAATCGGTAGTAGACTGTCTTGAAGGCACTCTTGATGGTAATGGAAGGGCGTTGAGCCTCAGCTGCGACTGAGGAGATATACTCAGGGCCGACGACGGTAAAGGAAGCTGACCAGAGACAAGCGAGGAAACCCTCAAATCTGCCCTTGTCGCCTGTGCTAAGGTATGTGGTGAACGCTCCAGGGTTGGACCAATATCGGAAGCCGTAGGCATCGTGTTGGGGGTTTCCACCGACCATAGTGACGAAAGTGAAGGCGAAGAGGAGGAAGATCAGGATGAGCTTTCCACCTGAGAGCCAGAACTCGGATTCACCATAGAATCGAACGGCGAGGACATTGAGAAGACTGTAGAATGGTCAGTATAGTTCAATTGACTAAAGAGACAAAAGCTTACCCATAGCAGACAATGACTGCGACACAGATACCAGCGGTTGGGCCAGGGTTAAGCGCATCAGCATTCCAGAAGGAGATAACAGACGTCAGGGCAGTGATCTCGAAGGGAATGATGAGGGCCTCGTAGAGGAAGAAGTTCCAGCCAGCGACAAAGCCCAGGGCATCGTCGACCCAGTAGCCAGCAAGACGCACGAATCCACCAGCAATTGGCATGTATGTATTCATCTCAGCGATCGAGTTGTTGACAAAGGCGAGAATGATGCAGTAGAGGAGATAGGCGATGAAAAGACTGGCGGGGCCACCTTTGGCGAGACCGCCACCGATGGAGATGAAGAGAGCTGTTCCGATGGAACCACCAGCGGCGATGAGCTGGATCTGACGGTTGTTGAGGCGTCGGTGGAGATGGCCCATGCCGTCGTCGTCGACATATTGGAGGCTTGAGCTATCGCCAGCGACGGCGATGCCCTTTGAGGCCGAGTTTTGTCTCTTCTCGTCGTCAGACATTATGGGATAGAAGGCGGTTCAGACCAGCCTTTGTGAGAGGAATAGGGATTGGGGAGGATCAGAGAGGGGGGTAGAGGTGAAGAGTGTTGGAGACGAGGGCCTGAGGAGAACAACAGGCTGGAGGGAGTGGATTCATGGCGGTTTATATAGTGTCGAGCAGACGGGAGGCAGAGATAACAGGCAGTGAACCATGCCCGGGTAGCACGCGTGTGGTGTCGTTAGGCTAGGTACAGTACTTGGCACAAGAGCTTATCTCGCAGGCTAGCTTAGCCACTATCACCCCCCTAACGCAGCCCATGGTTCCAGGCCCTTGCAGCCTGTATGCACCCACCCACGCATACCTACACAGACAGATTGGAGCAAGCTGAAGGGGAATGGAACGACATGGGTCTTCCCCACGGGGAAGAAGACTCGGGTCCACCGAACCAAGACTGATTGAGGTCTGGGGAACGCCTGTATCGGCACTCGATTAGCTCGTGCAGACGTTGCGAATGTGGTGTGTTTGGCGGCCGTGCAATTGGTCAGGTTAGGGAAATCACTCACTCACTGCTGTCATCTTGCAGCCTTCACTAACATCTTTTGCTTTGGGGGGAGACGGCTACTGTGCCTACGTCTGGTCTAGACTTGGAGTGTATTTGGGCGTTGCGCATGTGATGAGTGAGGGGTTTGTTCTACATGTCTTTTGGTGTGGCACAAACATTTGCGACGCTTTACGAATAGGGTAATTCATTGTCCAGACGTGAATCGAATCTCGGTAATCTTGAATTTGCCGACTAAATGAATCTACTACAGATCATATCTCTCCGTCATATGGATAGGTACTCTACTCTCTCTAGGACCCATTGTAGATAGGATACTTATCTAAATGGCTCACCTAGGTCAGTACCTTATCATCCCCCTTGTACGCCGTGGAGTCTAAACAGAGTCTGCCCGTATCCTCGGAGTCTCATCCCGACCCCTGCACGATAAGTACCTTGGCCAATCCCCTCAGCTTCCCACCATCTTTTTCCTTTTTTCACGCTCAGCTCCTCACGGGATCTCCGCAGACGTGCAACCACTTCGCTTCACTTCTCCAAGAGAAAACTCCAATAGAACACCACCATGTTGGCAATCTAGAAGCTCTGTGAGCTGGCCAATCACTGCGCACACCGTAATTATTCGGATTCTCCAGCCGACACGACACGTTGAACTCTAACTTATCGATCGTGGCAAACACCGAGAAATTGACCGATCAAGGTCGGCTATATAACCCGTAGTTCAATTAATTGGCTTTGTGATTGCGGCGAATTACTACTGAGTTGGCCGCTATAGCTTATGGGGCTAGTTAGGGAGCCCGGGCCTGGTTGGTGCTCTAAGGCTAGAGATAGATATCCACTCCCTCTCTGGAGACAGTGAGTGGGATGGATAGTGGAGGTCAACAGGGACGGGAGGGGAGGTTGGCAAGTATAGACGAGACACGCTCTAGTTTTTGATAACATCCAGTGCCTGAGTGCATTGATGAATGATGTCTGAGCTTGATATCGACTGTCATTTCCTTACGCTAGTCATTCCCAGGAGCTTGGATCAGGCTAATATCACCAGACTATCGAGTAACGCTGATACTATGGAATGCTCCTTGTAGAGTCCTGTCTGTTTCATACTACTCCCTAAAAGTAGTCCTTGGTGATGCTCGTATCCAGTTGCTAGCTATTCCTCTGATACTGAAGTCCAGAGTTAGAGCTTCTTTCCTTATTCTCTGCATTAGGTATGCAATTCCGTCACAGTTCAAGTCTGGTTACTGTATATATCTCCATGAAGGGAGGGACATAGATATCAACTTGTTTCATTTCCGCGGAGCATAGTAGCTCTAATAATGTATAGCTTCGTTAACACAAGAACCCTCGATATCTATCCATTCGGCCCGTTGTTAACAAGATTCGCGAGGACTTTGATATCACATTCTTAGGCCTCCATCAAGTCTGTCTCCTATTCCAAACCGAAAGACTGCATGTCTCTGCATTTTCCTAGGTCCAGTTGTAACAGCATTACTTATCTCAGCTCCATGTCGACTTGAACCTAATTGTATACTTACCTTGAACCCAGCGGCTCGGGTGGTCCAAGTTTAACTCAATAGTATCCTTGAAACATTACACAATGATGATAAAGAAAGCCACGACCAACAACATGATATCGAACAAGCATATTCAACTATTCTCACGGATCCCAGGTCACATGATCGGGATCGATTCCGATCTTTATACCGGATTCACTCCCGACTCTTCACCGGGTGCCCTTCCGATCCCCGACCGCGCCGCACCTAGATCAAAGCTTCATTCCCAAACAGGGAGGTGCTAACTCCAAGCTCGATAGCTAGAAACAATGTCTCATCCTGGGGGAAAACGTGGGCTTGTGTTGTGTTGGAGAAACGTCGTTGTATCTATCCAGAGCCTCAATTCTGACACTGACGGTCTCCCTCAAGCCATGTTATGCAGGCGTTGGGAGATGGGCGCCTACGAACCAATGGGGTATTATGCGCTCTGAAATGCAAGCAAACTTCAGCCTCGTTTTTCGGACTCCAACTGGAGAGGAATGGCATGAGGAGGAAGTTGTCCGGGACGATTGTCGCTGGCCGAGCCGTTCCCGAGATACTAAGTTAGACTGTATACCTACACCCATTTCGGCTTCTCCAACGCCGTCTAGGGAGCTATTAGCTGCCCTTAGACTTCGTGAGAAGTGTCATCAGTTGCTCTATTCGATATGATACCCTAGAGGCTCATGTCGTAGGACTTTGTTGATCTGTGCTGCAACCACTTCAACAGACGGAGCTTCATCCTTCGTCGCCCTGGAAGATAGGCCAGAGTATGAACAACAGCTCACAAA